CCTTCCCGAGGCTTGCAGGCACTTCCCTTCTGCCGCAAGACGGGAGGCTGTTTACCGTGGGGTGACTTCAGCCCTTCGAAACCACCACCTCGCCCAAGCCAACACCGGCAGCGTTATCCATGCAGCTTGGCACACAGCAGCACCGGCGTGGGCGGAGGAGGGGAGAGCACAGCGCTATAAAGCCGGCAGCCCTGGCACCGCTCTCCATCGTGCTGGCGAAGCCGGAAGAGGCTGCGGCAAGATGAGGACCGTGGGGCTGAGCCTGGGGCTGGCCCTGCTCTGTTTGCTGCACACGGAGGCTGAGGACCTCAGGGCTGCGGGGCCGGACAAGAGCAAGGTGATCCGCAGCATCCCAGGGAAGGGAAGGTGGGAGTGGGGCCTCCGGTCTCCAGGGTGGGGACTGGAGAGCTGTTTTGGTACTTGGGGACAGCTGGGGACACCACAGTCACTGCTGGCTCTGCTGTCACACCCAGGTGAGGGCAGTCACCCAGCTCCAGTGTAGGTGCCCCAGCAGGGATTTCAGTGCCTGGAGGGGGTGGGGGTGTCCCATTGCCTGAGGGTGTCCTGGCTCAGTCCCCGAGGAGGGGACAGCCCCTGCCTGCTCCTCTGGACTCACAGCCTGCCCTCGCTGCCAGATTGCAGGGAAATGGCACATCACTGCTCTGGCCTCCGACTCCGAGGGCTACCTCCGAAGGAAGGATGAGCTGAAGATGGCGATGGCCACCATTGCGGTCCTGGGGGAAGGTGACCTGAAGGTCTCCTTTGCCATTCCCACGTAAGTGCCAAGCGCTTTTCTCCACGGGCTTCACTGACCGACCCCCTCCCTGAACCTTCACTGGTGGGTCTCCACCTGGGTCCCTTCACCCAGCACCCACCAAAGGCCTGGGCAGGACCACCAGCCCCGTGGTTTAAAACAGAGGCTCAGAAGCGCTGCATCGTGGGGACCCCTTCTTCAGGGTAGGCCAGGCAGGCTCAGGGCAGCACCAGCCAGGACCGGTCCCACCACAGAGGCTGAGATACTCTGCTGCTCCAAGCAGGGATGCAGCAGGGTGATAAGGGACCCTATGATCAAAGTTTTCCCAGCAGGACCAACCTCATCCCAGAAGCTCAGAGCATAAGCAAGGGAACAGCTGTGTGACCCCACAGGACGATCCTTGGGTGCCAGCTCTGTGCCCTGCTAACCCAGGCACCCATTGCTCCAAGGATGGCATCCGTCCCTGCCCTGCCCTGGCCACACCATCCCATTGCTGAACAGCAAGTCCCACATTTGGGGTAGTGACCCTGGAGCCAGCGTCCCCAGGGGAGGGAAGGGGGGTCACTTCACTCCAGCTGGAGCATCCTTCACTGTTTTGCAGCCCAGAGGGATGTAAGAAATCAGATTCGATCTACAAGCAAACAGACATCCCGGGTGAATACTACAGCTCCGGTGAGTGGGGGGAGCCTGGCCCCCGGGATGGGGTGGAGGCACTTCCCATCATCCATCTGAAGCAGCTGGTTGTCCCGGGGTACCCGGCCCTCAGGGGTGTCTGCCTGCCTTTCCTGAGGTCCTGGGTGGGATATCCCTCTGCGGCCGGTTGCCAGCTGCACCCCACGGTGGGTCTGTGCCACGGCTGGTGTCCCACCAGCGTGGCGGACCGCCCCACCGCCTCCCTCTGGGAAGCTGCTGTGGGATAAGACAGGTTCAGACCAAGCTTAAACCCTGGGGAAAAGCAGGTTCATTCTGCAAAGGCGCTGTGGATGGATGTTCCCAGCCCACGTGTTAGTCTGACACTGGCCGGGCTACTCCGCTGTCTGCAGTGACCATCCCCAGACCCTCCTGTGTTCACGTTGCCATCCCTCGGCTCTGCTGTGATCTGTGGGCTCCCCCAGGCTTTCAGAGGAGCCTTAGCAAGAGGGAAAAACAGAAGAAAGAGAGGCTGGGTGGGCCTGGCCCCTGGCATCCTGATTCACACTCTTACTTTTGCAGTGTGGGAGTTCTCAGGAGGAGGTAATCAATTTTTTGCTTTCCTCCATGCCCTTTTGCAGAGAGAGGCAATAAAACGGTGCGGGTGGTGGATACCGACGGCAAAACGTACGCAGTTATTTTTGCCTCCAGAGTGAAGGACGGGAAGACCTTGCGGATGCTGAGGCTGTACAGTGCGTAGCCAGTAGCGGTCTGACCGGGGTGAACAGCGGGGAGGTGTCAGGGTGTCCCAAGAGGCCGGGAGTCGGGGGGCCTGTGGGAGAGACCCCCTCCTCACAGCTGCCCTCCTGCCCTGGGTGGGGTGCAGAAGTGGGGCTGGGGCTGCTGCGTGTCCCCTGTGCAGCAGGGGAAGGGGCAGCGATTTTGGGGCTGGCAGGGGAGGCTGGGGCTCAGACTTCTGCACTGTGCTGGGAGTCCATGGCCTTGGGTAAGTCGCTTGGTGAAATGGGGTGAAGAGCGGGGGTCCTGCTGCAAGGGGGGCAGAAACGGTGGGGATGGGAACCAAGAGAGGAGACACTGTGCTGGTGCCCGGACCTCCGCTTCGTCTTGTCCCCCGGCAGGGGTGTCTCCTGTGCCTGGCCACCAGTGCTCTCCAGGATCTCTGCCACTGCCTCCAGCCTTCTCCCAGGGCCCGTTATCCATCCTCTCTTGGCCGGGGCACGCTCGCCAGCTGCCCAGGAGGTGCAGGGACAGGCCACAGCCTGGAGCTAACTTGTATCTTTGCCTTTAGGCAGAACCCGGGAGGTGAGCCCCAAAATCACAGCGCTGTTCAAGAAGATTGCGAGGGAGAAGAGCTTCACCGACGAGATGATCACGATGCTGCCCAGCCAGGGTGAGCACTGCCCAGCACCATGTCGGGCTGGCTCCGTTGATACGGGGAGCCAGGACGTTCTGGCAGGGACCAGCTCAGCCCATCACTGCCACCACTTTGTGGTCTGAGCTGGCAGGAGAAAGCACTCTGGCTTTTGCCTTGCTCAAGTTCATTCCTGGGTTGTTTATTTTGGGTGCTAAATGGGACTAGGCAGACCACAGCCCCGGACTCAGCCTTTCTCTTTATTTTCACAGAGGAATGCAGCCTCGATGAAGCATAGGTGAGCTGCTGCAGTGCAACACGGTGTTTGCAATGTCCTCAGTTGGAAATTGCCCCCCTTGGTGCCTCAGCAAGGGCCACCATGAACTCCTCAAACTACTCTGGGGGCCGAGTTGTTTGAACCTGTGCTGGAGCTCACACCCAGGTAGGAGTGCTCCCTTCGGAGCTGCTCTGCAGCGCAGACCCCCAGGATGCAGCTTCCGGCAGTGAGCAAGGAGCATTTGAACCGAAACCACCGGTTCAGTGGAGAAACAGCTGCAGCGCTCATCCAGCAACGAGGGCCGGGTCACCAGCTCTTGCCAAAGGGACCTTGGGGTTTGGACCAGCAAAACTGGCCAGAAGTTGGGTTGGTGTCTCACCACGCAAAACGTGGTTGTTGTTGGCCCACCCTGGCACGTGATTTCCCACCACACCGGTACACATTCGGTTGTAGGGGTTAGCTTGAAATCC